TCTTTCAGTGAGGCATTGCCTCTTCTCTTGGCCTCATTCATGCATTCCGTGGGCTAACATGCCCCTGATTTTGTGACACTTTCCTCTCCTATATACCTGGCCTGAGAACAGCAGCAGCTCCATAACCCAACTTTGCAGTTGTCCACAATAATTTCTGCTCCTATTGGGCCACTGCTTTTTTTTTGGATACAGGCTTTTACTTCTGTATCTGTCCAGAGCTAGTCAGATTTCTCACACTTGATTCAAGCACYGTGTCCTTGGGACATTATTTGCCTGACTCAACCCAACACAGCAGAGCAGGGGAGGCTCATGTGTCTGAGGGGTCACAGGGCTCACCTTGACTTCTGCTTTSCCCAGACTTCTACCTTTCCCAGTTTCCAGGAGTGAGCTCACCCCTASCAGGAACAAGCTTATTATGGTGACTCATAGCACTCTGGTATCCTCTGCTGCATGTGTCTCTTTGTCCTTATCTCAATACGCATTTCAATTCCAAAAAMCACACTCAGCTGATCAGACGGGAGGCAAAAACCCCAACACAAACTGGTCCCACTCCTCTTCTGGCTCATCCAAGTCYAATAAGGTGAAGGCAAATCTCTCCTGGCAGTCATGAAGCTTAAGGGCAATGATGGACCCTGTGCTGTTAGACTTACAGCAAGAGAGAAGATCTTGATGCAGAGTAGAACCTATGGATTGTATGAAATGTCATATGGGATGTTTCAAGGAATAGGCATCAATAGGAATAGGAAGGGGAAAGGGAGGGACTGGGGGAGGAACAAGCATAGAAAAATAGAAAGATAGGAAATGTTTTGGTGGTGTGTAGGCAGTGGTAGATATTCTTGCCTCCCTCAGCAGCATCTTTCAGCACTGCAGTCTGTCCTAGACCCTCATTAAATCATATTTATTCTGTTCAGTGGTTATCCCAGTTCAGAGATGCCTGGGCAACAGTGGGGAAGCTTTTTGGTTGCTCACAGGAGGAAAAGGAGAAGGAAAGCCTACACCCATTATTTCTCAGGGAAAGTTATGAGACATCTTGTAATTCTGCAACTTTAATAATTTTCTGCTGTTGGCTCTGAAGAATGAGAGATCTGGGCTTGGTTTGRTTTGATTTGTGCTTGAAGGAGAAGTATGGTGTTATTTTTGGTGCTGGGTTAGAAACAAAAACTCTCTGCTGGCCTGAATAATGAAATCCTGTAGAAGGGGGATAAGATTTCTCCSTGTAAAGACTGGATTTTATCTTCCTAGCACAATCATCAGCTAGATCTGTTCACAACAGAAGGGGGAATCTCTCAGCCCTTCTGACACTTTGCTCAAAAAGAGAAAAAGCATCTCAGATGGCTTCCTTGGAGCAGTCTGGGTTCTGAGATGTGTCASTTACAGATTAAAAGACCCTTAAAGAAGCTCTTTAGTGTCATGAAAACACTCCATAGCTGAAACCAGATTCAGACCCCATCAGGTCCAGCTCAGTTTTATGTAGGACAACAAAATAGATAACTTGACTCATACCTAGATCTTTTGTACATGCCGTATTTCCAGGGGATAAACATACAAGGTTTCTCTTTGCCCTGCTCCTGAGACAAAAGACAGAATCTCCTTCAAAGAAATTACCCACTTCCCATCAGGTAATTTGTCTGGTGCATGTCTTAATTCACTCCGGAGAAGGAGGTTTCTGATGTGACAGATCAACAGTTTTCAGGTWATGAAAACCCTTCATAAAAGAAATAAAGTGAAGTATTAGGTATCGATTCAATTTTTCCACTACCTTCCTCCCAGCTATTGGAAAACCAAGATCATGCTCTGCAACCCCGATTCAGTTATCTGTAGTTATCAAATATACCTGTCCCAACATCCTACCTGGCAGAAAAAAAACTCCCCAGTTTAAGCTGTTTCTCTGCTCCCACCATCACTTATTTCTACCTCAGTTGTGCAAGTCAAGCAGAGGGGAAAGGGACAGGCCACAAGATGTGCGCCAAGACAGGTCAAAATCAACTCCCTTAACCTATGGAATAAAGACTTTGAAATGCAGAAAAAATCCCGGAGTATCACACTTGAAATGGGAATCCATTTGAAACTGTAATTCCAATAAGCTTTTTTTTTTTTTTTCTGTTTTACTTTTTTTTTTTTTTTTTTTTTTTTTGTTATTTGCACTGGATTTAATTGGTACATGCAGTTCCATGCCATATCCCAGAGAGTTTTCTGGAGCACTGCCTCTTCTATAAGTTTTTTAAGAAATGCTATTAATATCCTCTGATCATTTCACACCTCTCTTATAATACAGAGTGCAGAAGTATCCATAGTTTCCGTTTCTCAAGCTGCTTCACACACACTCAGATAACACATTTAAATTTTGCTGTCACCCACTGCTAATTCATCTCAGAAAGCCCGGGGGTGGGGACTGAGGATGAGGAAATCAATTYCCAGCCAATTTGAAGCACACAGACCCTGGAACACAATTAATTAATATGAGGAACCRGTATTTCTCAAAGAAACTTAAAATCAGCAGCTAAAATATTGAATGTTAGTAACAGTAAATGCTGCTCTTGACTTCATCTAATTTCTTGGAGACAGTTCTGGTGCTTCTCAGAACCAGCACCTCAGGCYACCAAACAGCTTCAGCTACATCATTCGTGGAGGAATTAGTCAGAACTTTGCAACTGTAACCGCTGCATCACCAGGGCAAATTGGCTGTTTTCCTTTGCTAATTCACAGGATTCCTTCTAGTGATGTGAAATCATATCAAGAGGTTCTAAGCATATTTTTACTGCTTTAAACTAAAATCAAAATGACCTCAATTGCTGCAATACTGCTCCCTTTTTAATTAGTTCCACCACTGAATAGTTATGATGAGTAAAGACTTGAGGTACGTGTGAAAAAACCTTAGGCTATGTACCCGGTGTAGATATATGGGGGGAAATAGTGCATCAACATCAAACTTCAGCTACAGAAMTACTGTTTGTCATCATTTAAACCAGATAAGTGCCCGGGGTTATTACTTAACCTTTTAATAAGAGCACTATTTAGTTTTCTAGGTTGAAGACTATGCAATACACTTATATTCAGCAGTTTATGAACAGGAAGTTCCACTGGCCACTCTGTCCTAAGCCTGTACCTTTGCACTGCCTTGCCTTTCATCCCCTCCCTTGCATTMCATTGATTATGCCTCCCTTGTCTTCCCCTCCCTTGCCTTACCTGACAAAGCTATCACTTGCCTTATTCACTATTCCCTTGCTTTCTCTTCCTGACCCCTTCCTTGCCTTCTCCTCCCATACTTTGATTTGCCTTCCTTCACCTTGCTGTACCAACCTCTCCCTTGCCTGCCTGTTCCTTGCCTTGTTTCACCGACCACTTCCTGGCCTTGCCTGGRGGGAGGTAGGGCAAGACAAGACAAAGTGAGGGAGGTTTAGGCTGCGGGATACTGGTTYTCACTGCACTATCTTCCTTTTGGCTCCAGCCCTACAGTGATTTCAGCTCCAGACCCACAAGCTTTATTTCMCCGCCTGCTCTGCTGCTTCAGSTTCAGCGCATCATCTTTCCACAGCCGCTGTTTGAAGCTGCTCCTGGTTGTCAGGGCAGAATCTTCATTTTGGCTCCAGTTCTCTTCGGTCTCAGGGCCAGCACTGCAGCCACTACTCTCAGGCCACAGTGATTTTGACTCCAATCTCGGCCCGCCTTTCTTCTCCTCGYCCAACCACAGCCGCTCTTTCAATCCGCCGCGTCCCGCCAAGCTCTGCCCCCTCAGTCACCGCCCCGTCCCTCAGCTCGGTCCCGCCCCGCCGTTCAACCGAGGCGCCGCTCCTGCCGCCGCCGCTTCGGGAGCCGGCGGAGCCGCGGTCTCACTGTGGCAGCCCCCGGCAGACGCTTTTGGGGCCCGGGAAGGGGTCGGCGGGGGCTCCCCGTTCAGGTCTCGGCCGGGAGKTGTCCCGGGGGAAGGAGCGGGCGCGATGCGCAGCGGCGGAGCCGGACCTGAGGGGACAGCGGGGAGCGTAGAGATGAGCGGGGCGGGAACAGGCGGCCCGGGATTGGCTGGGCCGGGCACGCCCTCGGGCTGTGATTGGCCGGGTCCGGCCGCGCGGTGCTGGCAGAGGGTATAAATGGGGCGCGCAGGAGGAGGCGGGAGGGGGGGTTAGCTCGATGAGGCGAGCGCCGCTGAAGCGATGGGAGCCCCGCCGCTGCTGAACCGTGAGCGGGTGAACCGGGGAAGGACCACCGCGGCTGTCTGGGCCGTGCCCTAGGGCGGGCGGCGTCCCGTGACGGCGGTGCTAGCCTGGCTGTCGATGCCCGGAGAGGGAGCCGCTCCGTCCCGCCCTCTGAGCCCCGCGGTGGCCGGTCAGCGGGAGCGCTGGCTCGGATGCGCGGCGGGAGACCCGGCCGCTGCTCAGAGGCATGGGGGTTCCCCCGAGTAAGGGCAGAGGGATGCGACCTCACAGGGGTCTAGAGCTGGCCAAGGCAATAAAGTTGTTTTATTCTGTTACTATTACTTTATTCTACTTTTCTCTTACCTTATTCGGGAGGGGTAGACAAGGCATGACTAGCGAGCCGTTGCTTTTCCCTCCCCTGCCTTGTTCTGTCTCTGCCTCCTTGTTCTACCCTTGCCTAGCCCTTTCTTACCTTGCTTTCCCTGCCCCTCCCTTGTCGTGTCTTGGCCTTTTATGCACACAAAAGGTGCATAGTTTCTTTATTAATGTCTAACTGTTGTTGAGGGAGCCATGGGTTTAGAAACGGATCTCGTTTGGGGACATCAGGGAAATGTATGGCTCAGCAACTAAGGGGGCTGGTGAGCACCCCAAGACTCYCCTCAGGAGATTGGTGGACCTGTTCCACCTGTGACTGGGAGGTCACTCATAGAGCTCCAGCCGGCTGTCGGGGTTTGGCTCCACCCCTGTCACAGAGGCAGGAGAAAACATCACAGTTTTAGAAACATCTACCATGACCTTTAAAAGCAGCTCTGGCTCAACGAGGCAGGTGAGCAAATCCCTGCCTCGAGCAGCAAGCAGAGACAGGAGTCACAGCAGGGGACAGATATTTAATACATTTCTGGGAGCAGCGCCATTACATGTTGCTGAGGATAAGGTCACCCCCTGCAGCCARAGCAGAAAGATGGGCTGGGCTGGTTATTCAAAACGACAGGAACAAGAAGCTGCAGCCAACCCCCCAGGATCTGCTGCCAGCATGGGGCTCCATGGGTCGCTGCAGCAGACGTGGGGCTGGCATCTGCCARAACCACTTCCACATCTTTCCAGCGACATTCTCAAGAGCCAGGGCATGGCACAGGAGTCAGTGCAACCCCTTTGCTCCCGCCAGGGAAGGGAGGGCATAAGACAAGAATAAATGCAGCYTTCAAAGTCACCCAACATCCCACCCACTGCTGCACAGCCTGGTGAAGGCATTTACAGAAGGAAATTTGTCCGCTGGATTCCAACAAAGGAGTAGATGCATCCAAAGGGGTTTATCACTGACTTGTTCGTATTCTGATCTCCTCCACCAGGCTCTCCCTGCGAACATTGACCTACACAGGGGGAGCAAAAAGTTGCTTCAATAGAACTCCAGCAGCTTGACACATCACCACAGTCATGGCCCWGTGTCTCAGGAGGTCACACCAAGGTGTCACCAGTCCCTTTAGAGGGATCAAGTGGGCTGTAGCAGCCACAGAGCTGAACCTGTAAGAACAGGCACCTGCCAGCAACCCAAATAACCCCTCTCCTCTCCTGCACAACGATTATAAGAATGATGCTCTTCCCATTGATTTCCTATTGGTTCCAAAGCCACTGATCTATGCAGTAATCTAGCCAGTGATTAAATCCAGTGCTGCTTATTTTGCAAATCTGTCCTGAGATAATAGGGACAGAGCAGCTCCGCAGTTCAGGGCTAACCAAATTCTGCTCAGTCTCACTCATTCCAAGAGGGCACCTCCAGGACTTTCATCAATGGTCCCATGTCATGGACTGAAAGCCTGAGCAGCCATGCAGGCCACTGAATCACCCCCCATGCTCCACGCTCCTGATCTCAGGAGTTCAAGGAGGCCACATGATGGGAAACTCTCCAGAACTTGAGACATCAGCATTTGATGGCTCCATGAAGCTGCATGGGGCAAGRAACTGGAATATGGGGTGTTAAAGAAGTTGTTGGAAAGGCCACAGGGTCTGGAGGGCTGGGCTGAAGGATAATATAGCCAACCCCACCACAGCAAGCTGCCACAGGCCATACCTCCTCCCTGCTTGCCACGATCCGCAGCTTGACGACTCCATCTTTGAGCTCCTGCTCACCCACAATGGCGACAAGAGGGATGCCTGTCTCYTCACAGTACTGCAGCTGATTCAGCAGCTTGGGGTTCTTCTTGTACAGCATCTCTGCCTGGGAGAAAGCCAGAGCACACCACCAYCATAAACTGGGACATATCACTCGACACTTCCAACCAGGCACTGCTGGGCCAGTCTGGTGAGTGTGAGCTTGTGTGGTGGGGAGAGGATGGACTCAGAGAAGGCTGAGCCCTAGGTCCAACAAGRCTAAGTACTGGGTCCTGCACATGGGCCACAAAATGCCWTGAAATGCTYCAGGCTGGSGGCAGAATGGCTGAAAKGTGCCTYGYRGAARAGGACCTGGGKGTRCTGTTTGACAGCAGCTGGACATAAAGTCCAGGTGTATCCAAGTGGGCAAGAAGGCACCTGGCTTGTACCAGCTTCAGAGTCCATCAGGACCAGGGCAGTGACAATCCCTCTGTGCCGAGCACTGGTGAGGTCACACCTCAAATCTCATGTCCACTTCTTCGTCCCTCATGGCAAGAAAGACACTGAGGGGCTGGAGCATGTCCAGAGAGGGGAACAGAGCTGGGGAAAGGTCTGGAGCACAAGCCCGATGAGGAGCAGCTGGGGAAATTGGGAGGACTCAGCCTAGAGAAAAGAAGGCTCAGGGGGAACCTTCTCACTCTCCACAACTCCCTGACAGGAGCATGGGGCCAGGTGGGGGTCAGGCTCTTTGCCCATGTAACAGGTGACAGGACAAATGGAAATGGCCTCAAATTGAGCCAGGGGAAGCTCAGGCATTGGCACAGGCTGCCCAAGGAGCACCTGTGACATCCCTGGAGTGATATAGCAGACATGTGCATGTGGGACATGGGGACATGGTTTAGTGGTGACCTTGGCAGCACTGGGTGAATGGTTGGACTCAATGGCTCTTTCCAACCTACATGATTCCAAGATTATGCCAATGATTATGCTATACAGCTCAAAGGTCCTCAAAAGACACTGCTTATCCTGGGAATCAGGCCATTAACCCTAGCCAGTGTMATCTGGGGTGTCCCTACAGGCCAGGAGCCCAGCGGAGCACCCAGGCATTCCTCTCCCCTCAGTGAGGCAGTCCACAGCAGGCAGGGAGCAGGGCCTTGCTGCCTGCTTTGGGAATCTGTCCTGAGATAAGGCACAGAGCAGTCCTTGCAGTTACAGGGCTAACCGAGTCCTGCTGCCCAGCCCTTCATGGAGAGCCCRTGATTTGGGACACTGGGAAGAGGAAGGCTCCATTCAGAAAGGCAGTCTGCTCCCCACATGTTCCCTGTAACTCCTTCCAAAAGCAAAGCCAGCTCTGGTGCATTCCTGGCACAGAGAGTGAATCAGGCAGCTCTTGACTTTGCCATCACCCAGTCATACCTTGATTCCAGCATCCCACAATTCGGAGATGAGCTTCAGTCGCTCTTCAAGGAGCTTCTTTTGGGCAGAGGCCACCAGCACCTGTGTCTCCGTTGTCCTGATCTTTTCCTCAGAGGCCTAAAGAGGGGACAAGACTCAAAAGATGGCACAGACATACCAAGATACCTGAAATTCTATGAGCAGGAAGGATCACCACCCAGCTCCATCAACCTAGTAATGAAGAGCATTGGGCTCAGAAAGATCAAGAGAATAAATTCAGAGTCAGGGAGGTCCCACAGACCACATCCTAGAGCAGAATCTCATTTTCTGCAGTTATTCCATGATTGRTGCCTAACACAGCTTCCCCACCTGTTTCTCCATACCCAAGGGCCTCCTAAATATCTGCTCCAATCAGCTCAGGAGCAGCACACCAGGAGAAGGAGGACACAGGCAGCTGCCTGCTCTACAGCTGAGCTGCTACCAATGGGTTAAACAGCAGCAAGCTGAGATGCTCTACCAGCCCCTGTGGCAGACACTGCATACTCCAAGTGGCATTTTCCTGCTGCCTTCCTGAAGGGAGAAGCCTTTAAAAGGTCACCTGCAAAGGAACAAACCTGGCCAGGGCTGGAGGTGGTGGGGGTGGAATTCAGGTTCTATTTAGAAATTCCAGTTGTGTCTGACTGCCAAGAGAGAACCAACACCAGACTTCTAGGGGAGAGGAACAYGTGGCCACATTTTGGGAGCTTACAAACACCTATTGATTGGGATGGAGAACAGTACAACTTCAAAGAGGCGGAAAAGGAAAAAGCTATCTGGGAAACCTCTAGAGGCAGTGAACTTCCTGCCCTGGAACATGTACTCTCTGTCTGGTCTTTGTAGTGCCATAAGCAARAAAAACAGATGTGTGAAGCTGCTGCCTTGCCTTGCAGAACAATGCTGCCTTGCTGAGGAGGACATGGGCTCACATGGATGCCTAGTGCAGTGGGAAACAGTAAGTTACCTGCCCTGGGTACCTGATAATGCTAGGGATTAAAGCTGCAGCTGGAGAAGCCATGTCTGAGGGCTGTGGGAAGAAGGRTTTTGTCCTCAGATATCACTGGGCAGACCAGGGAGAATGAAATGATATCCTGGTTCTGACTCCTGGCGCAGAGCACAGCAGAGGCCTGGCTGGCTCCTCCAAATTCTGAGGCAAGGAACACTCACAACACCATCTGCTGGAGTGGGGGATTAACCATCCTTAGCTGAACAGCAAAGGCACCCACCTCCAGTCTCTGCTCCAGGATGGAGAAGATGCGCTCGATGCCAATGCTGACCCCCACACACGGCACCTTCCGGCCCTTGGGATCAAACATCCCCACCAGCCCGTCATAGCGGCCACCTCCAGCCACGCTCCCGACGCTGACCGGCTCCTCCACGTGCTCGTTCTCCTGATGCAGCAGCACAGCCTCAAAGATCACCCCCGTGTAATAGTCCAGGCCCCGTGCCAGGCTCAGGTCRAAGGAGATCTGCAGGGCACAAGGGCAGCCCCRTCACKGGSTGCTCAGGGGCCACAAAGGCAGCACCCCCTCCTGCCCCCACACCTCCTCACCTTCCCTGTGATGCCAAACAAGGTCAGGTACTCAAACAGCAGCTTCATGTCCTCCAGCCCCTCCTTGGCCAGCTTGTTCTGGGACAGCTTTGGGTCCTGGAGAAGCTGCTCAATCAGGTCCAGCCCACCTGTGGGAACCAGCCATGCCTCAGCTGTGCCAGGGCAGCAGCACCCACCACAGGGCCCCGGCCAGCCCGGTGTGTGCCCTGCACCCTCCATCCCCAGCCCAGAAGAACTCACCATGGAGCTGCACATACTCCCCAATGCGATCTGCAGCCTCGGGAGAGAGCCCCTTCTCTCCCACCATCTCACTCCTCACTTCTTCCCAAGGCACCTGTGAGGGGAGAGAAGGACATCAGCCACTGCACCAAGGACATGGGCTCTCCTGTGCATGGCAGAATCCTGTTATCATGCTTAGAAGGTGCATGAGAAAAGTAGCAGTTCACAGATCCCAGCCACGTGTGCACAACTCCATTTCTTGTACCTCTGCACAGCCTGTTTGTATTCCAACCCTACAAAAATACTTTCAGTTTGATTTCTGGCCAGAATCGAACATCAGCACTGTATAACCATGTTGTGGCTTATGGGATCTTTTGTTTCCTTTCATGGGAATTTTTCTTTCCCATTTTTGTTGCTGGGATACACTGATTGCCAGGTCATCCTTTTGATGGCAGGGCGATTAGTAAAGACAATAGAACCTACACCCCACCCAAACGACCTACACCCCACCCAAACGACCTTGCTAAGTACTGGGAGGGGGTGGGTGTGGGTGTGGTGGTGGCGGGTAACTATATATACTGCCCCGCTTGGCTCAGAGAGGGGTTGGCCTGCTACCTGTGGAGCAGAGCTAGACTGCTCTTTGGTTCCTGTTTTTGCTGCACTGTGATCTTCTGTCTCGATCTGAGCCAGCCGGGACCTGCGCCACAGCGCTCCTGCAGCCACCGGGGAATCAGGTGAGCATCTCTGTGTGAGGCTATCACTGGGTTTGTGGCTGGGCTGGTTGTTGCTATTGTTGTTATTACTTATTTTCACTTTGTTATACATATTAATAAAACTGTTATTCCCTTTCCCCCATACTCTTGCCTGAAAGCCCGTGGTTTTTTTCCAAAGCTATAATAAGTCAGAGGGAAGGGGGGGTCATATCCACCACTCCAAGGAGGGGGTCCCTGCCTTTATTGGCAAAACACCTGTCTTTCAAACCAAGACAAAYCACCWAGTCTGAGAGCCATCTTACTGCTGTGGTTTCCCTGGTCAGGTACTTAGTGGGAACCACTCAGGAAACTGTTGCTTGTCAGGGAATCATCTGAAAGGTGTGAGGTGTTTGGGTAATGAAAATACACAGGGTAAGCATAATATGCTGCTGTCTTGCCACTGACCAAGGGGTCAAAGAGAACCAGAGTCTTGATCACATCCGGCTGCACAGAGAAAAACCACAAGGAAATAATCCCATTACAAAGAAGCCCAATGCTCTTTTCCTATTGCTTTTCCATGCATACACAGCCCCAAACCCCACACTTTGGTCATGCCTGTGCAATGGATCTCTGCTAAAAGGGCTGTGAGACTTTCCCCAGTTGACTTCATTTGACTATCCAATGAGGCCTCCACATGAAAAGGTAGTTCAACCTTCAATGAAATGAGACACAAGCTCCTGTGTTCAGCAGGGTTTAACAAGAAGGTTAGGAGCACTCTTTGAGGCAATCAGCACATCGTGTCCTCCACATGAATCTGAATACAGAAACTGACCTCCAACCTCTACTTCAGATCCCAAACCAAGAAATCTGAAGCTTTAGATTGCTTTTCATTTTAAGGTTCCTTTTCCTTAGCTATGAAAGGAGGACTGTATACACACTTAGAGACTGATATCGAGCATCTTTATCTGACTAGGGCCTACAGCCAAGACAAACAGCTGCAAAGAACAAGTTGTCCCTATTCTGGCACCTTTCCCTCCTCCCAAAAGGCCACAAAATGGCCTGAATCCCTTGGAGACCTTCACAGCAGCCAGGGCTCTTCAGGCAGCTYGCTGAGCCCAAAATCTGAGACTTCCTGGCTCATGTATTAAAGGGGCAGCTGCACATTGAAGGGGCTGTTCTGTGTCACACCAAACCTGGGTAAGCCACACAGACAGCAATTGCTACACACAGCATGATTGATAAAAGCACCTGTGCTGCCAGCCCAASTCAGCAGAGCATGGATGAAATGACCAGAGATCTCTTACTCCTCCTCACTTCCAACCCTCTTCTCTATTTCCAGGGAAAATACACAAACCTCACCCAATGCACCTCAGTTCTCATTGTTGTGTCCATCTCCTGAGGATCCTACACACAGCCAGAGGCACTCACTGTCCAGTGGCACCTGGATCATGCTGGAACTGCCTGGCCAGCAACATGCACAGGCTGCAGACTCTGTGTCCTCATCAGAGACACTGAACATCACATCACCAAATGAGAACAGCACCACCTYGCAAGACAGCAATTATCAACAGGGTCCTGGATAACATGACAATTGTGTCAGCCTACTCACCTGTGCATTTCCATTTTGCTTGGCCCTCTCACCTAAAAAAACTGTCTTACAGACTATCACATGCTGTCACTTATAAGTGCACTGCTCTACTCCTTCACTCTCACAGAGACTTTAGGCTTATGTCACACTCCCCTTGTACCTGAAGTCTGAAATTTTAGTAAGGTTTGATTGGATGATCTCTCAAGATCCCTTCCAATCTGGGCTGTTCTATAATTCCAGGACACAATGTAATTCCTCATACCACCCAACTAAACCTGATGCATTCAAAAAGGCTTTTCMATGCTCTAGCCTAGTTTGGTACAGGTTTTCATGAGCCTGTTTCATAAGCAGCAACACCTTAAGCAGGTGAAGGTTTGGGGTATTGAACTTCCCGTGTGAAGAGCGCTTTTCCCACTGTTCATCAGGACCCAATGGGAAACCAGAGGACAAAAAAAAAAAAAAGAAGATCCACTTTTCCTGTGTGAATGCTGTGCCCTGCATGTATCCCCTCCAGGGAAAGGTGGGAACAACCATTTGATGCTTATCAGCATTTTCCAGCCAATTCTCACGGACCATACTTCATTCACTGAGACTCCAGCAGTAGCAGCAGAACTACAGCTTGGAGCTCCAGCCCATACCTTATCCAGTTTGTCAACGCTGGAGCAGATGGTTCGGAATTTGCTGTCCGGAACCCCACACACTGCAAACATCCCATCGAGGATGCGCCGATCATTGACCTGGGGAAAAGGGAGCAGCACATCAGGAATGACCAACTCAAACAGATGCTCCAGCAGTGTCCTCTTTCTTTCCCTTGTAGTTTTAAACATGGCAGAGAAAAAAGGAGATGTCTGCCAAGGGTTTTTTTTTTGTTATTTGCAATTTCTCTTCTCCATTCTTGGGGATTTTCCCAGATCAGAGCAAATGGCACAATGGCATCTACCAAGCCTGGGCAGAGCCATCACATTTCCTTTTAGAGCCACAGACACCTCACTCAACAGAGAARAAAACCCCATCAGGGCCTATGAGTCCTCTCATGTGGATAAGTAAAAGCAGCTCAGGAACAGACCCACAGCAAAGGAGATGAATTCAGGGCACTATCCTGCACTCTCAGTATAAGAGCAAAGGGACATCTGGCTCTGTTAAAGCCCCCCTAAAGATTTCTTCTTTTATGATAGTATACCGAATTGTGTAGTTTAATTATGCTTTCTAAGAGCACATAATTGAGGTCAAAGGCTCATCTGGATTCAGATGGGTAGTGAGAACATCTACAGCTAGTCAGAAACAAAGAAAACCGCACAGGAATCTGGACTCCTCCAGCATTCACATGAACCATAAAATGCCTGGTGGGAGACAAGAATAATCACAGAAGGTTATTTTGTAGCTCCCCACCGAAGCAGTGTCTTCATCCTCAAAGGCACCACTTTCATCACTGCCCAAATACACTTCATCTCATCCCAGACAGGTTCAAGAGGGGGTACCTGGACCATGCCCCATGGGGCTACAACAGGAACACAACATCCAGCCTGCTGTGCTCACCGACCTGCAGTGCCCAGCAATGGCCCAGCTCTGGGTCCCTCATAGATCCCACTACCCTCCTGTGCATCCAGTTCTCCTGCTCCTGTGCACCCTTCCCATCCTGCCTTACCTACACATCAAATGCCATTTGCTGCCATCCCAAGGGAACAGAGATGTCTGGAAGCAAATAGCACACTCAGCCTACAGCAGGGCACAACTCCCATTTTAGAAAATGCTTCAGGTCCAAAAAGCACTTGGTGGAAAGGCAGGAGTCCACAGGCAACAATACACACACACTGAGCAGATACCCCTGCTAAGCAGACATSAGTAGCTGGGATAAGGGCAGGAATCCTGGACCAGAGCCTGTTTCCCTGTAGGCAGTGAATATGCCAATCACTTGTTTAGAAAGGTATTGGGAAGAAATTTTGTATCACAGSGGTGGTGAGGCCCTGGCACAGGCTGTCCAGACAAGCTGTGACTGCGCCACTCCTGCAAGTGTTCAAGGCCAGGATGGACAGGGCTTGGAGCACCCTGGTCTAGTAAAAGGTGTCCATGCCCATGGCAGGGTAATGGAACTGGATTATATTTAAAGTTCCTTCCAACCCAGATCATTCTATTATTCTAGCTGGGTGCTGGAATTTTGCAAAGGACTGTGGTTAGTTCTGGAGAGAACACCATTGACTGCAGCCTCAGGAAAACTGGTATTCTCAACTCAAGACAAGCCCAAGTGGAGGTCCAAACTTTAGCATAAGGATGCAGAGAGGAGGGATGAACTTCTGGATAAGGCCTTAGAGTGGGAACAGGTGCTGCTGYGTAAAACCACAAGAACAAYGACCATTGCTTCTCACCGTGGCACAGARAACCTGCCCAGTCTCACCTTRATGASRAARTCCCCRAGCTSCAGGTCACTCAGGATCTCRTGCACRATCTTCAGACACTCAGCATCAGGAATCATTGGGTCAAACTGCCCGGCAATGTCAAAGTCCTGGGGGCAGAGAAAAAGGCAGTGAGCAATTCAGCACCCCAGCATGGCTGCAGCAGAACAGCTTCAACTGCTGGTAACAACAGAGTGTGTACAAAAACCAACAGAACTGGGATGTGAGGGAGCACTATCCCATACASACTGGATCCAGAAGGGACAGAATGTGGGTTAGGACCTCTCCCATGGAAGGCAGCAGTGCTCTCATGTCCACTGTATTTTAGAGAGTCTATACACTGTGACCTGCTCCCCTGACACACCAGTTGCTGTGTGACCCTGAAACAGATCCTTGAAAAACAACTGAAAGGAGCAGCAGCAGTAAATAAATAGAGCAAAGGAACCAGAAAGAGGAGGAAAAAACTATTTCTCATTTGTTATGACCTAAACACAGAAGGTTTCGCCTTGGTTATTAGGATGCTTTTTCTAATACACACACCAATTAAGTTAATGATTAGGGAAGGCAAGAGGAGCAAAACCAAAGTTTCAACTGCTGAGACARAAGAAGGAATCAGGAAGCCTGAGTGGTCCCCAGAAAAGATTACCAGATGAACTAGCACATAGAAGAACCCAAAGCCCAACATCAAGATCCTTTAATAGGCTGTTATCCCATGATTGAAAACATCAGTGTTCAGAGAGAAAWAAAACAGAGAAGCTACAAGAGAGCCCTTTTTCAACTCCTGTTTACGAATTTCCAAATGAAAAGTCTTCAGTGAGATCTTGGATACAGAAATAATTTTCATTATGTGGATATATTTCAACAGGACTTCACYAAGCTCTCAAAATAAACCAGGGCATTGGGGGAAGGAAGAGATGGGATCACATAGTTAATTTCTCATCAGCCGAGTGAAAAAAGGGCTGATGCAATCCCTGGGAAAGTTGGGTGAGAAAGTACAGGAAGTACACAGGAAGTCAGGAGAGTGCTGATATTGCTGTAAATGTCACAAATGAAATCTCACAGGAAAAAAAAACCCAGGGGTGGGTGAATAATATTTTTTTTATATKCAGGAAAAGCTCCTAGGCTGAGGARAGAATGAAAACATCTCCAAGGAGAGAAGGTAACAAAGGTAACAGAGCTTGATTTMCGTGGCCTAAGGAGGGGAAGAGTTCTCCAAACATTTCCCAAATGTTTATCTGGGAAATTGGAAGAATACATATYAAGGGATGACAGCTACTGTTGAAAGAGTTGAACTCTTTAAACAGTAAACAAGAGGAAGAAAATAATCAAATACAAATAAGTTTAATCCAGATATTAGAAGATAATTTCTAGCTATCCTAGGAGTGAGATCTTGGAGTAGGAGATGAGACAGGAGGCAACAAMCCCAAGTCATCTGGAAATAGGAATCACCAAACCAAAGCTAGAAGGTATTCCCAGGGGTTGTATAATGAAGTAGGAATATTCTCAAACAAACAAAAAAAAATGTTGTTTGCAATGTGATACCCTGGGGACTGTGTCAATAGAGGAAAGCAAAGCTGCTCCTTGGGGCTACCAGGAGAGAGCCACAAAGGAAATTACTTTGTTATGTTTTTTGTAGCTTGGCCTCTGGGTTTTCCTTTCCTTTGAAGTTAAAATTGACTAAACATGGAATGGAAGTAGCGTATGCTAGAGCCTTGCCTGGTTTGTGTGTCCTGCTAACRCACCCAGAGCTGAACTGCTGCCAGATTTCAGATCAGAAGGAAATTCTTCCCCTCCACCCATCTGGCAAGCACTGTGGGATGGAGCAAGGAGCTGCCCTCCCATACAGGGCCAAGGAGGTGCTACCTGGGGGCTCTGTGACAAAGTTCCACACCAGGTCAGCATGGTGTCACAGCTGCCATGCCCGCTCTCCCACTCTCCAGYTGCCTTTCACACTCATAAGGACACACTAAGGAAAAGATTAGTGGATCTTTCAGAGCTTTCCACAGCCACAGGAAGGGTAACACAGCGTTCAGTCCTGTATTTTGACAGGGCTACATGTCCACAGGTGCTGCCCAGCCCACAGGCTGACTCRGCAGTGTCCCTGCTGCCAAACTCACACACTGGTAGAACTCGCGGTAGCGGCCCCTGGTCATGGCMGGGTTGTCCCTCCTGTACACCTTGGCAATGTGGTAACGTTTGATGTTGGTGATCTTGTTCATCGCCAGATAGCGAGCAAAGGGCACCTGAGACAGAGAGTTAAGGATGGGAACAAGAAGGGATCATCCCCCCAGCTATCAGACACAGGCAGTGCTGGGTGCTCATTGTCTCCCCACCCAGCACCCGCAGGGAAAGAACTGCTAAGAGACAGCTGGACTTATCACAACTCCCCAAGGTCTCCACACATCAGCACTTAGGCTGGATCTCAGCCTCATGTGGGCTGTGTAGTCCAGCAGCCTGGTCTGGGAACCCTGCTTGGGAGAAACCACACTCAGTACAGATCTTCTTTACTTCCCCACACATGAGGCATGAAGCTGTGTCAGGAGAAGATCAGGCTAGGTATTAGGAAAAGGTTCTTTAYCCAGAGGGTGGCTGGGCACTGGRACAGGCTTCCCAAGGAAATGGTMAAGGCACCAAGCCTGACAGASCTCAAGGAGCATTTGGAAAACACTCTCAGACACACGGTTGGAGTGTCCTGTGCAGGGTCAGGAGTTGGACTCAATGATYCTTGGRGTCACTTCCAACTCAGGATATTCCATGATTCTAAGCATTCCTTTACCAAACAGAAGCAATGAACAGTAAGTAACTGAGCAAGGATTCTGCACCCACTGAACCACAMTGCCTGCTCATGCTCTCCCTATCAATTTGGGGTCCTCCCTCCCTCTCAGAACAGCACTGCCCCAAAAGGAAGATAAATGAGACCCCCCAGCACCAGGTGTGGCAGGATACTGTCAGGTCATAGCGCAAGGACAGCAACTCTCCTCCTTGATCTTTCAGATCATAGATGAGCTTCGAGTCTTCACCATATTTCCCTGTCAGTGTCTCCTACAACAAAACAAACAACAAAACAATCAGTACCTTCAGTGACAGGAGATCAGCCCTTGAACACACAGAAAACAAGGAGAGAGAGGGAGAATGCCTAGGAATGGAAGAAGGAAACTCAATCCTCAACACTTTCAATTGTAGGATCCTCACCCACCTTCAGCTCGAACACTGGTGTGTCGATGACTTCGGCTCCGTGGCGCTTGAAGCACGAGATGATGGCATTGAAGACCCTCTCACGGATGGCCATTTGCTTGGGGCCATAGTCCCGTGTGCCCTGGGGTGAAGGAAAGAAAGGAGCAAAAGACACTTTGGGTTAGAAGCATGAAGTGAGAAAGATACCAGAAGTAATATGAAGAAGCTGCCATACACATAACAAAGCCAGAGAGAGCAGGTCCAGACACCAGATATTGGTAAAACTCAGCACTAAAAACACTGGAAAAGATCAGGACAGGGCTCAGACAGAGTCTGCCATGGTCTGCAAAATGAAACCAAAGTCAGGAGGTTCACAATACAGGAAACAAAGGAGGTAAAACAGATCCAACAGTCAGAATTCAGTGCTTTTGAGCCTGACAGTGCAGCCAGGATGTGTCCACAGCTCTGATTCAGACCTATTAGYCAGACCCCTGCCCAGTGAGCCACCCAAAGTTGGAAACAGAGGACAGACATGCTCCAAAGCTGTGGAAAAAAATAGCACCTCTGTAATTTCCAAACAYAGAGAAAAATCATCTTTCAAAAAGCAACATCTGTGAAATATCTATGATTCAGAGGGGTACACTCCCTTTGCATTTATCTGGCATTAAGGATTTATTTCAATGATGACCTTTATGCTCTCACCAACGTATAAATCATTGTTAATTAACTAGACCTCCAACTTTCACTTTCCARGGCCTGGCAGATAGGCAGGAGAAAGCAGAGGCCAGGCACTTCTGACCACCCCCATCCACAGGTCACTCAGGCAGCCTTCAGCTGTCATACAAGCCTGAGCTGGGCTGGAAACTCAGTTGTGTTTCTCTGGCACTCATAGGGCTGCAAAATCCCCTTCTCCACACTTTTAAACAGTGAAATACCCTTTYATTTTCCAGGAGTCACACCACAACTACATTTGACAAAACACATAATAGAGGAAATGGACAAAGGAGACAGTTTCGAGACATTTTGATATTGGTGAGAAGAAACTCTTCACTGCCCAGAGAAGCTGTGGCTGCCTCATCCCTGGAAGTGGCCAAGGCCAGGCTGGATGGGGCTGGGAGCAACCTGGTCTAGTGAAAGGTGACCCTGTGCATGGYAGGGGGTGGAATAAGATGAGCTTTAAGGTCCTTCYAACCCACACCATTCCATGCTTCTGTGATTTCCTATGTCAGTGGCATCACCATAGCCTGGTTTGTTTGTGAGCAATATTGGTAACTGTCTTCATATCACAGCACGGAAGCAGCTGCCAGTAATGAAACATTCAGGTTACAAAGTATTTCAGCAGAAACTGCATTATGGACACTAATCTTAGGAGTCTGGAGACTGAAAAACTATTTGGCAAGGAAGGGTCCTTCCACAACAGGACACAGAAATGCCAGACCTATTCAGTAAATGGGATTACTCAGCTCTTGAGACTCAGGGCACATATGAGCCCTCTTATGCCAGGMAACTACAACAAGGCTTGATTAAAAGGGGATTTTATTTCCTGACCGCACCAGCAGTGGTTAGAATGTCACAGAAGCACCAGGAAGTTTCTAAGGTGRTAGGTATCTGGGTTGAATAATGTCTCTTTTATCCCTCTCCCCCTTGTTGCTAAAAGCGAAAGGGAAAGAGAAATGTGAACAATGGCAGGTGTGTCCATGCTGGAATTTTCTTCATAGATGTGTGGGGGGTGTTGGACGTGTGCATGGGGGGGAAACCTGCATACAGAGAGGCACAGGAGCGTGCTGTTGATAGTTACCTTTGGGGTCTTGAGCACAAACTTGTGTTTCCCCTCATCTTCCCCCAGCTGTGCCTTCATCTCCAGCAGCTTTGCCACTTCCTTTGCAATCTGGGGATGGAACAAGGAGGGAGCTGGGGATAAGACCACCCACCAGACCCAGCTCACAACCTTCCCTAGTACCTTCAGCCTCAGCATTCCCAGTGCGCCCAGACTCCACAACCTCAACACATCCACTATTCCCAGTTTCTCTGCAACCAGAGGGACATTCTCTGCTCCTCTCCAATCCTTCCACTCCTTATTCAGGCACGCCTGTCTCAGCAGCGCAAACACCCCCACCACTCCCTGACTCCCACGACCTTCATTCCCATCCACAGATATCTCCCCATCCCTCTCCCCAGCACCACGAGGTATTGCTACATGCACCTCAGCACTCGCAGTTTGCAGCATCCTCCTCCCAATCCTAACACTCCCAAGCATCCTTCCCTTCAATCTAAGACCAGTATCACCAGCTGTCACTACAAGCCTTCCCTGCATCCTCAGTCCAGCATTCCCATCCTTCCCGACACACCTCTTCCCAGTGCCGCCAGCCCTAGCCCAGTAACCGCTACACCAGTACTCCCAGTTCTCCACAGCACACAACCCCACCCACAGCCCAGCAGCCCCAGCACCCGTGTCCCCAGTATCCCCAAGCCCCTCTCCCTCATCCCAACACCTACCGTGCCCCGGTCCTCATTCCCCGTCCCTCCCAGCACCCCGCTCCCAGTCACACTGCTGCTCCCCCAGCACCGCATTCCCAGGAATCCCCGAGCCCCTGCACCTGGTCAGGATCGGCGTTGTCCTGCTTGAGCCTCCGCACGGTGTCCGCCTGGGCCCGCACCGCCGCCTCCGCCGCCATGGCAGCTCCGCGCCCGCGCCGCGCACGCGCACTGCCCGCCCCGCCGCCGCGCCCACGCCGCGCATGCGCACTGCCGCCACCGGGCGGGCTCCACCGCCGGGAAATAAGARCCGGAGGGTGCGGTTTGGGTTTATTACTGGCGTTTTTGTTTAATATATAAAAATACGGAGTTTCTCCACGCGCGCCCCAGTCCGCGCAGCTGCTCCAGCCGCTCACTGTGTCCCTCGGTGGTGGGACACGTGCTTCCTCCAGGGCGGTCCCGCAGCACCCGGCTGCGGGGTGGGACCGGCCCCCGCAGCCCCAAGAGCGGCGGGCGTGCCCTTCCACTGCCCCCTCGCCCCACCTGCTCAACTGGTGGGTGCCCAACACACCGCACATTTCCCCTCCCCAGTCCGGAGCTCCACCTGATCTAGCTTGAGCTGCACCACATCCACCTGTGCCACCACTGCCTACAGTGATTGAAATGGCTGTACAGGTACAGGGACTGCAGTATTAGAAACCCACATACTTGATCTGTACTTCAGACCAGCTAACCAGAAGGCTAACCTGGTGACTGCACCATTCATAGCTTTTAAAATCCTCTTGGCTCCTCTGTTCTCACAGCTTTAGCCCAGGAAATGAGCCTTAGGCCAGTGGATGTCACCCAGACCTCAGCTGGCAGTGAATGGCTAAGGGCGCTGGAGGAGGGTTCTGGTTGTACAGCAGTTCAGCCATGCAGTCCTGGCCACAGAAGTCCTCAGGGCTCCAGCCTTCTCCTGATCTCATCAACAAGCTTTTCYCTGGGGATATCAACCTACAAAGCAAACAGAGAGGGGGAGGTAGCAGCATTAGAACAGAGCACAATTTTAAGGCCTAAGTGAGGATACTAATGCAGTTTGCGACTGGTTTTCTGGAGTCACCCAACAGACCTGTGCTACAGCTTCCCAAAGGAACAACACTGAGGAAAGACCCAGAGCCCTTCAGTGATATCTAGAGTTTGGAAGCATTTTGAAACCTGGTGTAAAAGGGCATTCTCACCTCCTCTCTTGTTGCTACATCTCGCAGCTTGACAACTCCATCTGYCAGCTCCTGCTCTCCCACAATGGCAGCAAGGGGGATCCCTGTGTCCTCACAGTACTGCAGCTGCTTCAGCAACTTAGGATCCTTCTTGTACAGCATCTCTGCCTAGGAGGGAGTGGGAAGGGTGAATCACTAACCCAACTGCACTCTGATGAATACTGCAGTAAAGCACCAACACCAAAACCTGCAGCAATCAGTTGCCTTTACTGCTCTGGGCTGTTCTTCTCTGCCTGCCTAGATCTAAAGGTTGGACTTGATGATCTTGGAGATCTTTTCCARCCTGAATGASTCTGTGATGTCAGAYAGGCCCAGATCTTGGAGATACACACAACTAATGGAGTTGGTCTTGCTGTGCTACAGCTCCCTTCAGGCTCTCCCTCCCTCAACCCATGACACTTCCAAGCCCAGGTCCCTCCTTTACCTTAATCCCTGCATCCCACAGCTCGGAGATGAGCTTCAATCTGGCAGCAAGCAAGTGTTTCTGCGGTGTAGCCACCAGCACTTGGGTCTCAGTTGTTCGAAGTTTCTCCCCAGAAGCCTGGAGGGACAGAYATGGAATGCTCGTGGGAGTGACTCCGTGGGAATCTGCAGCTTACACCATCTCACCTCATCTATCTCCAGACCTYAACTCAGTGAGTGGCAACCTGGGCACCTTTAATGAGCCCCTCAGAGATTCTGCGTTGTGTCACCTACTTAATTGTGCTGCTGTTCCTAGGGGACCTTGCCCACCCTCCCAGATGAGACTGGGACAGCTTTTCAATGTCACCTTTGATTCTTCAGGTACAAACACATCACCTCAGCTTCACTTGCTAGGAACTGCAGGCTTGGAAGCAAACAGAATGATGAATCTCCTCAGAGGCTTTCCTGGGGTTCATTAGAGTGAGTGTCACAGCTGTTACCAAATTCATCACTTAAGAATCCCCAGGATAGAAAGCTTCAGAGGCAAGACACAAGAGTAAAGTGATTGGGACACAGAGCTCAGAGCCAGACCCAGRGCTAAGGGCTGCTTCCACCATTTCCTTAAAATCTCCTGCAGAATGCTGCCCTCAACTGCCCATGCCTGCATGCTGATGRGCTGCAGAAAAGGGCTTTTCTGTGCATGGATATTTAGGCATGGGYGGAGCCACCCTCTCYCCCARAATTAYTTTCCMTTGAGCACTGTGAAGCTGTACAGCYCTAAAAAATGGTATTTTGCCYCCTAGAGCCTTCCCCAATGCACTGCTTGCAGCACCCACCTCCAGTCTCTGCTCCAGGATGGAGAAGATGCGCTCGATGCCAATGCTGACCCCCACACACGGCACCTTCCGGCCCTTGGGATCAAACATCCCCACCAGCCCGTCATAGCGGCCACCTCCAGCCACGCTSCCGACGCTGACCGGCTCCTCCACGTGCTCGTTCTCCTGATGCAGCAGCACAGCCTCAAAGATCACCCCCGTGTAATAGTCCAGGCCCCGTGCCAGGCTCAGGTCAAAGGAGATCTGCAGGGCACAAGGGCAGCCCCRTCACKGGSTGCTCAGGGGCCACAAAGGCAGCACCCCCTCCTGCCCCCACACCTCCTCACCTTCCCTGTGATGCCAAACAAGGTCAGGTACTCAAACAGCAGCTTCATGTCCTCCAGCCCCTCCTTGGCCAGCTTGTTCTGGGACAGCTTTGGGTCCTGGAGAAGCTGCTCAATCAGGTCCAGCCCACCTGTGGGAACCAGCCATGCCTCAGCTGTGCCAGGGCAGCAGCACCCACCATGGTGGCCCTGGCCAGCCGGGTGTGTGCCCTGCACCCTCCATCCCCAGCCCAGAAGAACTCACCATGGAGCTGCACATACTCCCCAATGCGATCTGCAGCCTCGGGAGAGAGCCCCTTCTCTCCCACCATCTCACTCCTCACTTCTTCCCAAGGCACCTGTGAGGGGAGASAAGGRCATCCATTGCTGCAGAACAAACTCACCCACCGCCTCCATCTGCTCATGTGTGCACAACTTGTGTGGAATGACAGTCAGCAATCTCACTAATCATGCCTCTCTCATACGATTTTTTAATCAATCACCAGGCTTTATTCTTAACCAGGCCCAAGAACTCCTCAAATCAAGATCCTCCAACATCTTACCTGCTGTAAAACTCTTCACAAGAATAGCCACAACACTGGCCAGCCTCAGACACCCACCCAAGACCAGAAGTCTCTCTCCATGAGCCCAATTCTGACCTTGTCCAGCTTGTCCACGGTGGAGCAGGCAGGTATGAACTTGTTCTCTGGAACACCACAGACAGCAAACACACCATTCAAAATCCGACGGTCGTTGACCTGGGGGAGGGAGAGACATGCTTACCTTTGGGACACTCCCCAGAGTCATTCCTTTTGTCCCAGTGTGTGGGAAGCTGCAGGTGTTGGTGTTTCCTTGTGCCTCTTCCCCAGCACCCAAATTCCACAGGAAGGGAAGGTATAGAGATATGAAAACCATCCTGTGACTCTACAGATCTAGTCAGCTGCTGGAATTTTGCAGGAGACTGTGGTTAATCCTGAGAGAACTCTGTTGACTGCAGCCTCRGGAAAACTCGTGATATTCCCAGCCCAAGGCACGCCCAAGCGGAGCTCCAGCCTTTGCATATACACCATGAGGACGCAGAGAGGAGGGATGAACTTCTGGATAAGGCCTTAGAGTGGGAACAGGTGCTGCTGTGTAAAACCACAAGAACAACCATTGCTTCTCAGCGTGGCACAGAAAACCTGCCCAGTCTCACCTTGATGACAAAGTCCCCGAGCTGCAGGTCACTCAGGATCTCATGCACGATCTTCAGGCACTCGGCATCAGGAATCATTGGGTCAAACTGCCCGGCAATGTCAAAGTCCTGGGGGCAGAAGAAATGATGGGAGCTCCTGGGACAGCTGAGGGGCCTTGGCCAGGCACACCCTGCTGCTCTGCAGCAGCTGGAGGCTCTCCAGCCAGGAAAACCCTCCTGCCCCTGTGGCCCTGGCGGCAGCAGTGGCCACCACAACACTCACGCACTGGTAGAACTCGCGGTAGCGGCCCCGGGTTGTGGCAGGGTTGTCCCTCCTGTACACCTTGGCCACGTGGTAGCGCTTCATGTTGGTGATCTTGTTCATCGCCAGATAGCGAGCAAARGGCACCTGGGCCCGAGGAGTTAAGGATGGCAACATGGAAATCYCCAGAGCTGTAGAAGCTGAACCGCAAAGCCTCCCATCCCCCCTTCCCTTTGGCAGCCGCTTCCCAACTTTTTTCATTATCATGGTGGGATATTTGAGGTGTCCCGTGCAGGGTCATGAGCAGGACTTTGATAATTCTTGCACGTCTCTTCCAACCCATTATATTCTATGATTCTACGGCCTCTGAGGAGGTCACCCCTCACGCTGAGGATGAGTACAATGAACCACAGGAGCTCCTTTAACACTGGACAGCTCCATTTCCTCTTTCAGACAACATCACATGCACAAGGACTCTCTCTCATCATTCCACCCTCTCACAGTGTGATCAGTCACAATTCAGTGCATGGCACAGCCATATGGACACTGAAGAAGAGGGATTTTGCTGAGATGTGGAGGTTGAAAAAACCTGGGATGAACATCTGCCAGCAAACACCTTTCCACATGACACTGGCAAGGTGGGATAGGCAGAGCAGAGGTGGGGACTGTAAATGAGAGGGGATAAAACCAGTAGAGTGGAGCATACTGCTGCATGTCCACAGCATAAAAACTTTGCTGCAGGTTCTGGTTTGGCTGGGGCATGGTGTGGAGTCACGACAATGACAGCCAGAGCAGCTGGGATGGCCAAGGGAGCTGCCATCACCCCAATGGGACCTGCAGGCAGGCCAGGGTAAGAGGGATTCCTCAAGGCAGAGGTGGTACTACCTTGGCCTGATCTGCTACATCACCTTGAGAGTGCAGGATACAGTGAGGTCGTAGCGCAGGGCCAGCAGCTCCCCTCCCTGGTCCTGCAGCTCGTAGATGAGTTTTGTGTCTTCCCCATACTTCCCCATCAGCGTCTCCTGGGGAAGGCAAGGGGGCTGGTGACTGGGGTGGCTCTGGGTGAAGGGTCCCCCGAGACGGGGCACAAAGCTCGGCCCCATGAACYGGGCATTACACACATCCTCCCTCCAGCCCCTCGGACCTGGGTCCGCCCTCCCGTTCCCCCTAAAAATGGGAACCATGAGTGAATGTCCACCTTCCCCCCCACCTGGCCATACCCCATAAAGGGGGAGCCCCCAATCCTGCCCTGAAGAGGAAGGGGGTGCCCCCAGTCCCACAGGAGGGAGCAGAGGGGCASCCACAGTCCCTGGGGCCGGTGCTCTCCGCACACCAAGGGGGAAGAGAGTTCGGYCGCGCCTCACCCGCAGCTCCAGCACGGGCGTGTCGATGGCGGCCGCCCCGTGCCGCTTGAAGCAGGACACCACGGCGCTCAGGAGCCGGTCCCGGAGCGCCGCCTGCGCCGGGGGGTGGTCGCGGGTGCCCTGTCCGGGACAGAGAGCGGCCGTCAGCGGCGAGAGCGCGGGAGAACACCCGGTACCCACCGGCGCTGCCCCGCTCCCCGCCCTTACCTTAGGAGTCTTCAGCACCGACACCCGCTCGCCGCCCGCCGCCGCTCGCACCTGCCGGGACAGGATGCCGCGGTTACCGGCCGGCGGCCAGAACCGGGCGAAGCTGCCCCGGCTCCCCGCCAGGCACAGCGGTCCGAGGCGGGGTCCCGCCGGCAGCCGGCGGGCGGCGGCAGCGATGGCTCCGAGGCGCAGCATGGCCGGCACCGGGACACCGGCACACCGGGACACCGGCACACCGGGACACCGGAGCGCGGGCACGTGACGGCGGCGGGGCACGTGACCGGGCGCGGAGCCGCGCTTTACGGCGCCGCGCGACAGTTGCCGGTGCTGTGCCCTCAGCTCGCCATGGCTTCGGGCAGCGGGGTAGGTGCTGCCGCCGGGGCTGCCCTCGGGACCGGCACTGCCTTCGGGGTGTGGGCTGCCGGTGGCTCGGCCGCCCCCGCTGCTTCTCCCGGGCTCGGCAGGGCCGGGGGCAGGGCCGCGCCGCGCCGCGCTCGGGGCCCGCTGCCAGGCCGCGGGATGAGGGACGAGGCGGGGCCGGGGATACCGCGGTGGGCAGGTGTATGTGGGGTGGGAGGCGTTCATCCCTGCTCTTTACACCTCTGTGTGTGGGTGATGGGACGTTTGGGTAGTCCTGAGAAGCTCCGATGCCTACAGAGCTGAAATTGGAGTGGCCCCACCGCGATTCCGCCCACCAGCGAGGCGGTGGAGTCACCGTCCCTGGAGGTGTTTRAGACACGACAGAACGTGATAGCCAATGCTCTGGTCTAGTTGACAYGGTGATGKTGGGTCATAGGTTGGACATCGATGATCTCAGAGGTCTTTTCCAATCSCCGTGGTTCTGTKATCCTCCCGTGCTAGGGCTGKACCTCTGCCTGTCCCACGCAGGGAGCGTGAGAACATTGTGCTKCCTCAGCCCCCGGGGTGGAGATGTGGAGATGCCCACCCACCTCCAGCCCCCTGGGAGGGACCCCTAGCCATCTCCAGGGGCTGGGCGATGGCTCATGCAGGTGGACCTGTTTTCCTTCTTTCCTGTTTTCCTTCCCTCCCCAGGGAAAGTGCTGTCTTTTTCCCAGCTGGCTCTCACATCATCCTCATGGAGAAACCTCTCTCTGCAACTCCATGGCAGGAGGGTACAGTCAGGTGGGGGTCTGGCTCTGCGAAAGAATGAAAGGAAACAGCCTCAAAAGTTGCATTAGAGGAAGTYTGCGTTGGACAGCAGGAGGAATTTTTTCCCAGAATGGATTGTCTAACATTGGAAGGGCCTGTCCAGGGAGGTGGTGGAGTCACCATCCCTAGAGGTTTTCAGAGAATGACTGGATGTGTCACTCAGTGCTGTGGGCTGAGTGACAGGGTGGGGATTGGTCACATCTTGTACTTGATGATCTTGAAGGTTTTTTCCAACCCGAATGATTCTGTGAATGTTAAATGGGGTGGGTGAGGTGGATACTGCGGGTGTAGCCTGACTAGAGAGCCAGGCTGGTTTGAACACCTCCAGTGACAGTTACATCCCAAAGCTGTCAGCAGCACAGGGACTGTGTTTTTGTGGGGTTTTGGCCCATCTTTCCTTCCTTGAAGCCACTTGCTGAGAAGTGGAAGTGAGGCACTGGCACTGCCCAGAGAAGCTGTGGCTGCTYCATCCCTGGGARTGTTCAAAGCCAAGTTGAATGGGGCTTGGAGCAACCTGGTCTAGTGAAAGTGTCCCTGCCCTTGGCAGTGGGGTGGGACTAGCTGGTCTTCAAGGTTCCTTCCAATCCAAACCATGCCGGGGTTTATTCCCTGAAATGAGCARTGCTGGGGGAGGTCAGGAGCAGGATATCTGCCTGTGAGGGAGGTGGAGCCTGTGGTTTATTCTCAGCTGCCAGCTGAGAATTCCTCTTGAATTGAGCCCGGCTTGAGACTCCTGTATCATTTAATAGCCTTTGGTGCTGACACTTGGGTAGATCATTGATCTCCACCTCCAGAGGGAACAGGAGGCTGTGGGCACTTCTGGTTTTTAATTGTTATTTATTTGGAAAATATTCTTTGTCTCCTAAAACACCTCTGAGATAAAGATTCTGGAGCTTGTGTCCCCCTTACCCCCACCAGAGCAATTCAGAAACATCCCTTCAAATATTGTCTAACCAAGATCTTGTCTAACCAAGATTAAATTGAACGCAGTTCAATTTAATTTCTCTCCCTATGCCTGGATGAGGCAGATTGGTAAAAGAGCTGCAAAAGACTCTTTTCCTTTTATTACAACAGGAGAGAGAAGCAGCTAATAAACCTCCCCCTCTGCAGGCTCCCACCAGCTACGATTTGTGATAATGCCTGGCATGCAGGAGAGTCTGGAAAATACCCCCAAACGTTAATTTACACTCAGTGATATTTTCTTTTCTTTTGCTCAGGGTGGTTAATAAAACCTGTTACGACATCCTTAAAGTGCTTAAGAAGCTCTGGGAATAAATGAGAATTTTTCTACGCCTCCCCAAGGCATTTTCATCCCTATCAGTAGTTGTTCGTTCCATTTGAAGGATTGCCAGAGGAGAGAACTTTAAATGGCTGTGCTGCTGCTGTAGCTCCAAATGGGATTTGTGTCCTCTGGATTGTGATTGGATTCTTGATTTGGCTGAACGGAGAAGGCGGTGGGGTGTGTGTGTGGGGGGGTCCTTCTCTCCCGGAGGTGTTTTTAAATACATCTTGTCCTTTCTTTAATGTGAAACTGAGAGGCTCTGCCTGCCATGCTGAGGAAAATGCAGCTCTATCCAAAGGGGAGTTATCTGCTCAGGAAATTCAGGAAGTGGCTGAGTGAAACTGTGACTGATCCCAGGTGCAGGAGCCTGAGCTGCAGATGGGGCAAGTGCTGGGAAGAGCTTGAGCTAGTTTGATCAGAGTGGGTATGAGTGGAACAGAAATTCTTGTCCAATCACTTCTGCCCTCAACATTGGGTCTGGGTGAAAAGCCACCCTAAAATGTAGCCTTTGTATTTTTCAATGCCTGCTTCACTTGAATTTGGCCTTTCTTCATGCACATGCTGTGTCCAGCTCTGGGGCCCCAGCACAGGAAAGGCMAGGACCTGTTGGAGTGARCCCAGAGGATGYCATGGATATGCTCCAAGGGCTGCAGCCCCTCTGCTCTGGAGACAGGCTGGGAGAGCTGGGGTGGTCAGACTGGGGAARACTGAACACCAGTCTCTCTTAAGGGAGGCCTTGGAGCCCCTTACRTTGTCTAAAGGGGCTCAAAGGGAGCGAGAAGGACTTGGAAMAAAGGGCATGGACTGTCAGYACRAGGCTTCCTGCTGCCAGAGTACARGGTTAGATGGAATACTGGAWGGAAGTTCTTCCCYGTGCAGATGGTGAGGYCCTAACATGGGTTGCCCRGAGAAGYTGTGGCTGTCCCATCCCKGGAAGTGTCCAAGGCCAGTTTGGATGGGACTTGSAGCAACCTGGTCTAGTGGAAAGCATCCCTGCCCAAGGCAGGGGRTGTGRAACAAGATGAGCTTTAAGGTCCRTTCCAGCCCAAACCATTCCAGGATTCTGTTAAAGTATCCTGTCCCTGCCAGATAGTTCTGTGGASCTCCCAAAGGGGCTGTGTGCCTTGGAGATGTTTCTGTCCTTCCYTGTGTGAAGCTGCAGCCACAGGACAGCTTCCTGTGCATTTTGTACAGATGCTTCCCTGATACCTCCAAGCCCTGCCTTGACAGACACTCCTTCAGACCTTGTTCTGGTTTGCTTGTACATGTGCTCACTTGGAAATTCCACATTGGTGCCTGTGATTTCATGGCAAACTCAGCACTTTGATGCCTGTAACACGTAGACATATTGCTGAGAGCAGACAGGCACAGCCTTCCCTGCTCCTGCAGTGTAATCAGACTATAGCTCAGGCTGTGTTTTCAGCTTCCTTGTCTGACATGGCASCTTGGGTTCTTTTGACTTCTGGAAGGAGGAGGTGTAGTCCTACTGCTGTGTTTGTCAGGGGGTGCTTCCCAGGTCTTAGATCCAGCAGTTCAATCCCATTTGAGTCTGGTTTTCAAGGTGAAAGCCTGGATGATCATCTCAGGAGCTATTAAGACCAACTCATTTCTTCTTTTAGTGCTCTGAAATTATTCTAGTAGTAGCTAGAGGCATGCTGAGAGTGATTATCTTAAGTCACATCCRTAATTCCTAGACAGAAAACAGGGGACATGGGGATATAATGTAATTCTCTTAATTTACTGCACTGGCCTTATAGGCCAAGTGATTCCTCCTCTTTCTTCTCCTCAGAGGTGATCAGACTGTATAATAAATGGAAATGAACTTTGTTTCCCTCCCAGACCAAGAACCTGGACTTCCGCCGGAAGTGGGACAAGGATGAATATGAGAAACTCGCAGAGAAACGGCTCACGGAGGAGAGAGAAAAGAAAGATGGTGCGTTGTGTGCTGTGCTGGATTGGCAGAGTSTCCCAAACTCTTGGAGTCTGGGACGGAGAGAGCAGTGAGCAGTCAAATCCCAAAAGAGCTGGCTTGCTCTAATCTTTTATCCTGTGTTTGACACTAAGTATATTTTTCAAAAAAAACAAGTTAGTGAGAACCTCTCCAGGGACTGGCTCTTCTTTAGGGAAGGAGGGGAACAGTCAGCCCCTGAAAACAAGGAAATCTTAGAATTTGACTCAAATCAGAGCTGAAGATACCTCAGAGATCTACYTGGCTCTAATAGGAACCAGGAAGCAGTGAGGAGAAAATTCTATCCTTTACTGATTTATAAACAAAGGTGCATTTTCTGCATGGATCTGGTAGTCCCAGGTTCCCAGCAGGTGCCTCTTCACCAAGAGGAACATGAAATCCAACATGTCAAGCTTGACTTTTTGGTTTTTTTTTAGGCAAACCGGCTCAGCCCGTCAAAAGGGAACTTCTGCGGCACCGGGACTACAAAGTGGACCTGGAATCCAAGCTGGGGAAAACGATTGTCATCACCAAAACTACCCCTCAGTCAGAGATGGGAGGGTAGGTTGTGGTCTTGTTGAAGTYTCAGAGTCATTCTGGGAAGCTGTGACACAGCAGGGGCCTCGCACAGGGCACCAGGAGCTGGTGTCCTTCTGTGTTTGGAACCTGGGATGGCGGGGCTGCACTTTTCTACATCTAAACTGGGTCTGCTGGGGTAACACAGGGAAGAGACTCAGCAGGTTGAGCCCCTTTGGACATTATTCCTTGATACCAGTGTTGTCCACCTGTAGGACCAACAGAGGCAGATCTCTACTGCCTCCAGGAGTTTCTTTAGCCTGCTTGCACTGAGGCCAGAACTGCTGCTGGTTTGGATGTCTGTGCACTGGGAGTGGGACAAACATGGAGACAGCTGTTCTTAGGAATGGTGTTTGATCACTGTTTCTGTGAAGCATGTTCCAGCAAAGTCTGGAAGGGTTCTGAGCTCACCTTAAGCTATCAAGAGAATTAAAAGAATGTGTTGAGTTTGTGCCAGCTCAGGAGTGAACCTGTTGGTGTCCCCATGGGCAGTAGCGCCAGGGAGATGTGCAGCCCTGAGCAGCATCCAGGGATGGAAGTTCAGCCCCTGGCTGGACTTTTGCAACAGCTCTTAAGATGGGCAGAAAGCACTGCTGTGCTCATCAGGAACTTGCTCTGTGAGGTGATAGAGGTGGTAACACTTACCTTGCAGCCAGGTGAGAGGCCGTGGAATGGAAACTTGGGCTGGTAGCCAGCCCTACCTTGGGGGAGGGCAGGCTGTGTCACAAAGTCCTTCCCACCCAGCAGGGTATGACTGGAAGGGGAAGATGCTGTGGCTAATATATTGCAGAGCAGCTCAGAATTTGCTTCTGTCATGTCAGAGGGCTGTCAGCATAAGGGTCGCTACCTCCAGGGCAGCTCTGTCCATCTGGGGTGTGCCCTTGCACTTCACTGGGGCCCTTTTGTCTTGGAGAAGTGTCCTGTATCCCAAGTGACATGCAGGTTGTCTCAAGTAGCTGATCCAGGGGATGAGCTTTGTTTCATGTTTTGGGTGGTTCATTTTTTTCTGTCTCTCCTGACAGGTATTACTGTAATGTATGTGACTGTGTGGTGAAAGATTCCATTAACTTCTTGGATCACATCAATGGCAAAAAACGTAAGGACCATTTCTTTGCCTTATTGGAGGGTTGGTTGAGTTGGAGGGACTGTTCCTTTTGTGCATCACCCATGTCTGAGGGCTGAACACTTACCTATGGATAAGGGAGCTTTGGAGATCAGGATGTAGAAACTGTTTGCTCATGAGARCTGTGGAGGTACTGCTCTTATCTCCTGGCACCTTCCAGGGTGCTGGACCACTTTCATTGAATAAGCCCAGTAAAAACAGGGATTGGTGTACTCTGATTGGTGGACATACTTTCTCCATCCATAGTGTCAGTGCTGTGAGAAACCCAGGGTCAGCAAATCCTAATATAGTTTAAGTCATCTAGTCCAACACCCCTTTAAATCTGGAGAGAGGCTTTTTACAGCACTGAAACTGTAAAGGAGTACTTAGATAAGTGACTAGCCCATTTTTGGATCAGAAACATCTCTTTTTAGAAGTTGWATATAAAGCTCAGAACTGGCTGATGCCTGAGCTCCAGAGTTCGGATCAGGCCTTTTGAGGGTGCAGGCAGAGGATGAGTGAAGGCAGGAGTGGGGTGGTTTGACCCTGGAGCTGTGTCCAGCAGTGTGGTGGTGGTGTTGTCTTGTACCTCACTTGACTTCTGGTCTCCACTTCTGTGATGATGCAGTTAAGTCAAGATAAKGACAAGAGGAAAGAACTCCCATTTTATCTGTCTATTCCCTTAATGTGTTTAATCTGAAAAAAGAGGGTTATATCCTCATTGATCTKACTGGGGGCATTACTTCTCTTTGACAAGTTCAGAGAATGAGGAATGTTGTTTCTCCTCCTGAAGGTGTTTTTGGCTCCTTGTGGAAGTCAGAAAATGACCCCTTTACAAAAAGGCAGGGATGTGTGTGCTCTAGACCTGCACGTGGGGCTGTTTGAGAACAGGAAGTTCGGAAGAAGCCTAAGGACTGGTTTTCTGTTTTTCAGGAAAGAAAACACAGTGTTTTAAAAACCTGTGCTTTTATGTGAAGGGAAGGAAGGTGCTGAAATGCCTTGTTTGACATGTTGGGAGATTAGCAAGAAGTTCATATGAGAGAATCTGGAATTTAAAATCCTGGCATGGCTGTGTGGGTGGGCATGAGATGCAGGGTTGCAACTGGAGTTGGAAMGTGGCTGATTGCACAGTACCTTAGTATGAGTATGTCTGGGAACTTTTAAACCAGTCCATAAATCTGGCTCAAACCTGCTTGTTCTTGGCAGCCCTTTTACTAATTCTTGATGTGTAGTTTAAGCTTCCAAGTGTTGCTGCATCCTTGGGACAAACTTGTGCGCAGCTGCTGGAGTGAACAGGCTGTTTGGATCCACTCAGGAATGTGAGTTGGAGACATTTCTAGAGGTGGCCCCTTCAGCAGAGGCTTACCCATAAGTGAAAAACTGTCAATCTGCTCTAAAGAGCCACTGAATCAGAGGCCTGGCTTTATATTCTCTGCTTTAGCTTGGAATGTCCTGTGTAATCAGGATCTCTTGAGTGCCACTCACGTCTTGTTTAGCATCGCCCACAGCTGAGAAATGCCAGCCTGTCAGTTTTATTCTGGCTCCTTTTTCAACACTCCAACACTTTTTTATTCCACTGGTCCAAGATTAAATTTCCCGAAGCATCAGAGCATAAACATGACAGGGAGCATCCAAATAAGGAACCTTGAAAGAATAGTCTGTTTTCTTGTTACAAGTAGTGTTTGGATTGTTGTGGCCACTGCTTGTATGGGTTATGGTATCCCCCTAAAAGCCCACCTCCCCGACCTAGGAAATCCTTGATCTGGCCTTGGAAGTTGTTTTGAGGGGATGGGTGACAGACAGGAAGATGGTGCTGTGCTGTTTAAATTGGGATCAGGGATGGAGACTTGGTTCAAAATACTGAAGTGTTGCTGAACAYTGCTGATTCCCCTCCTGTTTTCCAGACCAGAGGAATCTGGGCATGTCCATGCGGGTGGAGCGTTCCACGCTGGACCAGGTGAAGAAACGCTTTGAGGTGAACAAGAAGAAGATGGAGGAGAAGCAGAAGGACTATGACTTTGAGGAGAGGATGAAGGAACTCCGTGAGGAGGTGAGGCTGGGTAACAACTGAAGAAGCAAATCTCCCAGAAACATGTTTTGGGAGGAAATCAACCCTGGTTTCTAATGTTGTGCCTAATCTTGTTCCTCAGAAGCCTTGTTTGTGGTAACATGGGCTTCTTTRTCTGCTCCTATGAGTGGGGTTTGTTTCTTTGCTTTTTAAAAGTTTTGTTGCTGTCCCTGGAAACCTGTTTCCCCTCTGTGTGAGGATAACTTATGATGGTTCAGATTGCCACTGAGAGCAGCAAAAGCCCATTTTTTGTCTCCCACTAGTTGTGTTGTAATTTGTGTGGTCTGGTGGCACATCTCCATCTTTATCCATTGTCTYCCACAGTTCTTAGGATTGCTGGAATTCCACCCCCCCACATGGCACTTGCTTCTGTGTGGCCTCCCCAAGTGTAGAAGGGCTTTGTGAGCAGTGTGCTGTGGTGTGAGATAGGTGAGGAGGCAATAAAAGAGAGCAGATTCCTCTCAAACTGGGGCTTAGGTGTCAGTAAACATGAAAATAAAGTTTATTTGAGGATTCAATGAAGTTCTGACATCTGAGAAGCTTCTGTTGGTGCTTCTCCTCTATCAGCAGCCACATTTGTAACTCAAGGTTACAAATCACTGCCTGTTTGAGTCTCCCTGCCCAAGCCCTGAGCTTTGCATTACCACAGGGGAGCTCTTTGGGGTGCTCACAGAGCAGCCCCATGCTCTGCTCTYGGGCAGGCTGTGGTGCTGCTGAGTCCCATCTCTCGAGGGGATATGAGGGAGTACTGTGGGTTGAAAAGCTGCTGCCAGTCAATGGATAGCAACAGGAAATCAGCAACAACTCCTGGTGTAGCTTTCTCCAGGGCATAGCTGACTTCAGGAGCTGTGGCACAGCAGATGGTGATGAGGATGGTGGGAGCAGTTGCTAAGTTGGGAGCTGAAGCCATGCTTYGGTGTCACCCGGTACAAGCCTGGCTCTGTTCCAGGGCTCGTGATCCTCACAGAGCAAAACACTTTGATTAGAGCAGTGCAAACTCTTTGATGCCAAAACCCCCCTCAAAGCTGCTCAGAGCTTCGGCTTCTGTTCCAGTGAGCAGCTGTCACTCTGCCAGGCTGAGAGCCAACACACATCACAGTCACTGGCATGAAGTGTCGGACAAGGCAACGGCCTCCTGCTTKCAAACCAGCTCCTTCTTGCCTCAGCTTGATTCCAGGCAAAATTTGTGATGCTTGCTCAGAAGAGAGAGTTTCTTAATATTTCTTTTTGTCTATTTGTGTGTGGCTCTGCTCTTGGCCTGGGAGATGTGGTTGGTGTGGATTCAGTGGGAAACTTCCTCCTTGAAGACTGTAGGCCAGGATTTCTGCTGTTTATTTCCTCAGGCACAACTTGGCTGCTGTGGGCAGGATTTTTGTTAACTGTGCAGTACCTCGTGTCTCAAAACTCCTTCAGTTCAGGAGATGCAAATTGTTTTGCTCTTGTGTCCCTTGCTGCAGGAGGAGAAGGCCAAAGCCTACAAGAAGGAGAAGCAGAGAGAGAAGAAGAGGCGGGCAGAGGAAGATTTGACCTTTGAAGAGGATGATGAAATGGCAGCTGTGATGGGTTTCTCTGGTTTTGGCTCAACCAAAAAGAGCCACTGAGCAGCTCTGGACTCTCCTCTTTCTCTAAACAGCTTGTTTTTACCCAGGGAACTCTGGATAACTCTTCAAAGACTTGATTGAGGACTTGTATGTAAATCTCCCAGTAGAAGTTGGCTGGAGGAGTTGAAAAGTGATTCCATGCTCTACCTGTGCTGCAGATCAAGCTCTGCATCTCATTTGCTTCCCTTCTCCTTCTGTGTCCTAGATCTGGCTGCTCAGCTGCTCTGTGGCCGTATGTGTGCAGGGAAGTGCTCTGTTGGGTACCTTTTTTTGTCAATAAAGTGCAGCCATTCTGCACAGGTGGCCTGGTTCGGGATTAATCCAGCTGTTAACCAGGCCCAACTTGTCATCCAGGCTGTGTTTGAGATGCTGGGAGGGATCCAGTTGCTTTTAGGATTATAATGGAAGGAAATGTGCTGCAGCATGCAGTGTGAGAGGTGCATYTTTATGGCTTGTGCTGAGCAGAGCTGGTGGCTGCATGGAGTCTGGGTTGCTGAAACTTTCCTGTGTGTTTTATCTGCAAGGGAGACTTCCCTCCTTTTCTTTGTGTTTTATCCCATAATTTCAGTATCTTTAAGGTAGGGGAGAAATTCCTCCTTACTGGTCTAGGATAGAGCAAATGAAAGAAAGGTGTGTGCAATTTGGCAGAAATAAATGAATCATTTTCACTGGCCTTTTGGTGGGGGTTCAATGCCTTCTTTATTTTGAGAGCTTCTGTTTCCCACTGAGAAGAGCTGCTGGTGTCTCCCAGCAGTGCAGAGCTGGGGTGGCTTTCTGAAGACCCCAATGATGGCAGAGGCAAAAGCATGTGCCCTCCACCCTTGGCTCAGCTCCCAGCTGCCCTAGGCAAGCCATTGCCATCATTCTTGGCTTTTTTAAGTAATTCTGGAGATGGGTGTGAAAATATGGAAGGGGAAGGGAGTTCAGGGCTAGGGGACCTTCATTTCTATCAGGCAATCCAAGACAGACTGGGCTACGTTCCAGATTTTACCAGCCTTAGTATATTAAGGGCCATTTTTTTTCCTGTCTACTGGCTGTCAGTGTCTTTTCACCTCTGCCTTCCCCTAAATCCACTTCATTTCTGCTTTTATTTACCTCAGTCAAACCTTGTGTGACTCATTTCCGTCTCCAGTTAGGATTTATATTTTGCATGGCTGGGTTTTTGTAGCTCTGTCTCGCTCGCCTCTCTCTTTTTATGTATATTGATGAAATCCTTGCGCTTGCCCTTCTCCGTGCTCRTATGAAATTTCCAGCCTGGGGAAGGCTGCAGTGTTTAGCCTGCTCTTTCTAATACATCTAGAACAAATCCTGTAATGTTGTGCTGCTGTTTTAATTCCTTAATCTTAGCCTGCTGACAGCTTCATTGCCTCAGGTCTTTCCGCTTCAATTCAGATTATAATCCCCGTTGAAGATGCTATTGAAATGATATATAGCCAGTCAGATACAGCTGTCCTTGGAGGTTTGACCCTTTTAACTTGGCAATCCTTTGACTTCAGCTCTCTGAGCACACGGGCTGGGAGGGCAACTTTCATTCCAGCCACGTTCCTAGCRCTGTTCAGGCTGCAGCACGTGGCTCCAGCTGAATGGGAGAGCGGAGACGCTCGCGCCTTTGTGCCCTCCGGGGTGCGAAAGGGATGCTGCCGTGGTTTCATACACATTAAAAGTTTAGGATGTTTCAGAGAAGATTTAGCAGCAGCCATTTTATCCCAGCCACCAGCTTTGCAGACACCCAGACCCTCGATGCAGCCATTCAGTTGGTGCTGCTGAGGAGGGGGCAGAGGCTGCCCTACACCCCCCATCTTTTCCAGCTTGTGACCTTGGAGCCAGTGACTGCTTTCTTGGTTTCCCCATGGTGTATCCTGAGGTTCTTGTCTATCCTGGCACACCCAAGGGGCGAGGTGTGAAATGGACAGCCCTGCAAAAACCTTTCTGGGGTGGTGGTGAGGTTTGCAAAGCCTCCTGCCTCTGGGCCCTGCCTGTCGCTGCCTGCTGCTCCCGGTCTCTGCAAGACAGGGAGGAAATCCCTCCACAGCGCAGTGCTTTCGTTAACAAGATTCCTCTTTGGTGTAAAGCCTGTTATCCCCAAGCCCATCCCGAGGCCACCTGCACCCTGGGGGCCAAAGCCCCAGCCCCAGCTCCCTGTGCTGGGGCTGCTCACGCCGGGGGAGTGCAGCTCTTTGTCTCGGCAGCTTGCTGGGAGCAGTGGTGTGTGCGGCAGCAGATACAAGCTCCTGCTGGATTCCCAGCAGCGGGAGCTGCCTCTAGCCAAGGATGAAAAGCTGGTTTCATGGGAGGAAATAATATTTAGAGAAAAGACAGATAACATTCCCTGTACCARCTATGTTAACCCTTTGCTCCCATCACTGCTTAGCAGGGTGTTAACCCTTGGTTCTCGGCCCGCAGTGCTGGAGCAGTGGCTCTCCATGATTCTTTGTTAGCACTCGCCATCTCCATGATGGATTTAAGGTGCTGGGTGTGCCCATATGGGTCAGGACTTGAGGGTTTACTAGGAGAGAAAGAAGACCCAGCTCTGCAGTTCTTTTTCTCAGCAGTGAAAAGGGCCGGGTGCTCTGTCCCTTTTGGTTCTCACTTTGCGCTTGCCAGAAAGTAATACAGTTCTTCCACAAGTTCAAACTGGAATCTGGTGGAGTAAGGAGAGRCATTTTGCATTGTTTGCTCATCCAGGCTGGGTTGTCCTGCCTGCTCTCAATGTGRAAGTGTTTTGAGGTGCCTGGAGCCAGCTTGGTGTTTGTTCCCAGTGCCTAGGCAGAGGTGCAAGTTCCTCGTGACCTGTGGYTTGGAGGACCTGGGGGACGGCTGGGGACTGCTCAGCTTGAGCTGGCGTCCTTTATCTCCATCCCACTAAATACTGATGGCAGTGTTTGGAGAAGTATTCAGGCATACTTTCAGAAAAAACAGCAGACCCCAGAAAAAACACAAATCTGTCTTGCCACCTTCACTTCCTCTMATCCAGACATCTTCCCTGGTCTCATCCAGGAATGAAAGGCTGAAACCTCATGGAGGGGCTGCGCACGAATACYCAGCTGCTCTTCTTTCTTTTCCTTTCTGGGCAGCCTGGGAGGCTGCTGGGCCCTTCTTCAACCCTGTCCTGTCCTGCTGATCCATCTTCCTCTCACTCTCTACACATCCTGCTTGGGACTAGAGCAGCAGCAGCAGCATTCTCACCATCCCAGTAAAATGACTGGGACCAGGGACCTGAAGTGATTCTGGAGAAGGGGTCCCAACCTGGCCCTGTGTGTTACTCTGCCTAGGCTATCTGAATCAAATCCTTCCCTGTGACTTTATTAGGAGAAAGATCTGGCTTTTCAGCGATTTACACCCTGAAAGATTTAAGCGCTTGGCAGGAGCTCCAGTCCTCCCACTGCTCAGGCCACAAGCTACTGCTGCCCCAGTTAGGCAGGCGTTCCTGCCATTTGCCAGCATTAAAACTAAACATTCACCAGCAATATCCCTGGAAACCCTCCCTCCTGCCTYGCTTTGACCTGGTACAGTGGTGCCAGGAGTCTGTGCCACCARCCCTGCTGTGTCGAGGCTCCTGGGYCTCCCACGCTCCATCAGTCAACCTGCTGTGGCACCATCCCACACAGCTCCAGAGCCAGTACTCCCTCCYAGCCCTATGGACACTTGTGTACTGGGAGCCACCTGGATCAGTCACCACTTGGCCCAATCTGTGTCCTGTCCTGCTTTCCACATGGTGGGGGAAATAATGTGTCCCCAGGGGARAATCTGATCTGTGCAAGGGCAAAGGTCCAGCCCCTGATTAGAGMTGGGGTTGCTGCAAARGAGAATAGGAATCATAGAATCYTRAAACWCTTTGGGTTGGAWGGGACCTTGAAKATCAMCCAGTTYCAAACCCCTGCCATGGGCAGGGACACCTTCCACTATCCCAGGTTGCTCCAACCCCATCCAACCTGGCCTTGAGCACTTCCAGGAATGGAACAGCCACAGCTTCTCTGGTCAGTGGTTTAGGAAGGGGTGGGAGGCAGGGATAGGGTGAGGTGAAGATTTGTAGAGGGGACAATCCCTGGTCTGGGAGGTATTTGCTTCCCATCTGGAGCTTGGATGGGAAACTTGGATGCCTGCTTTTGCAAAAAGGATCCAGCTTGTAGCCAGGGGCACCCACAGTGAAATGGTGCTTGTAAGTTAGACTGTACTCCACACACTAAATTTCTGGGACTGAGCCAGCTCAGGACACAGATGGGGCCAAGAGGGAACAAATATGGTTCTTGAGCGTTCCAAACTGGGAGGAAGGATATAACTGCAGTGCCTCCCCCATCCCTGTCAGGTTTGTTGCCACAATCAGGTTGGAGGGTTGCTGGATGGATGGTTTCTGCTGGGCTCGGTGTGGGGCTCCTGAGCACAAGGGAGGTTTTGCTTTGTCGTAAGTGAAGTACAAAACCATCACCAGCCAGAGAACAAACAGCTCCAGGCTGCAGAGGGAGCAGGGAGAGGGAGATGGGGAGGAGCAGGGGGAGCATGGGGACAGGGCATCCGCAGGAGGTTTTTCAGGGACTTGTGATCTCAGARCAAATTTCTGCTGTTGGCTGCACACCAGTGGCACCATTTCACCAACTCATGCGTGCCTCCCCATCGCCAGCTCCGCAGTGCTGAGCGCCTCAGGGGGGTCAGGGCCGCTCTGCGGAGGGCTGCGGGAATATGGTCCCTGCTCGGAGAGCGTGTGATCTGCCAGGCAGCCGGGGAGCCCCGGGGACACTGCCATGCCTTTGTTCCTCCTTCTCTTTCTTTTCCACCTTCAGATTTTTTCCCTCTGCTTCCAGCTGCGTATGCAGCATTCGCCCCCCCTCTTTCCACCCACAGTTCCTGTCTTGATTTTCCTTCCCCTCTACAAATATGTGTTCCTTAGGCTCCTTCTCCTCCCTGCCTAGCTCCCCCATCAGTGTTGCCTTCACAAACTTCTTTTTTTTTTCCCTCCTCCCTGTTTTCCCACAGGCCCGCTTCATTCCTTCTCCTTCCTGCTTCTCTCCCCTTCCCTCCAGCCTCTCGGGCTCCTGTTCACTCACTCTGTCTCCCCTTCTCTGACAGTTTGGGGGAAATCTGTCTGTGTCAACACACAAATTCCATTATTTATTGGCTGAGTGGAGCAGGGTCCTACACTCGTCTGTAATTGTCTCCAGATCAAAGCGRCTGCTGATGGCAGCTTTGCCTTCTCGCAGCAGAACACCACCCCCAGCTTCCAGCTCCCCATCCTCCCGGGGGAGTCGGGTGCGTGTGCGTTGACACCCTCGATGACTGATCTCTCAGACAGGGAGGAAAGAAGTAGGGCTGGTGGGGGAGAAAAGGGAGACCTGGAGGATCTGCAAAGCTCCCAGGAAAAGGTGGGGATGGTGGGGCGTGTCTCAGGGAGATGGTTGGTGGCACGGGTCGGGGAAGAATGGGAAGGTAAAGGTGGTCCCTATCCTGAGAATGGAGACAGAGAAATTAAGTGAAAGGAGRGGCAAGGAAGCTAGAAGTATCCCCGTATCTGTCCAGGTCTGGAAGAATTAGTATTTTAGAAATGGGGACAAAGGAGAATATRCCTTTTCCTGCCTTTCACTTGTGARATGACTGACCTATCCCAGGGATGTGGGACTACAACATGAACTGGAGGCAGGCAGCTGTTGTTTGGGTGTTGATGCAAGATGTCTGTGGGAG